TATGGACTAATTATGAAAAATCTGTCTCTCCTGCAGTGTGTGGCCTGATGTCCTTCCTCAGATTTTTATTTTTATTTTTAATTCTTTTCATTTTTAAGCCTAGCTTCCCAGAAGTCTCCCTTGGATCAACATAGCTTATTAGCCAGCCAGTGATTAAAGGCTGTGTGGAAACATCCTGAGCCAACAAACCTTACATTTTTGCCAAGGGGATCTACATACCAAGATCGGCACATACATTAAAAATTCAGGCAGTTTATAAGTATGGCTTTTATTTTTACCTTGTGCAGGTTTCGTGTTCATCCAGGTAGGAATATTTACTTGGGGCTCTCTCTGCTCTCTCCCAAGTGTATATGCAGCCCTGCTGTGCATGTATGCAAAATTCCAGATCCCCATCAATATATGGGAGCTTTTCAAAGCCTTTCATGGATGTTTTATTGCTCAGATCTCCCAGTTAAATTTTTGGCATGGTGTATTGAGTCATATGCAATTAAGGTGTTTACCTTCCCTGATGTTTTGCTATTGTTTTTGACAACATCCTGAACTTGGGACTTCTTTTTTTTCTTTCCTTCTTTATTTGTTCATTAAAAAAATTCTTTACTTAGCTCATGATCTGCTAAATAATTACTTAGTTTTTATTCTACCTTTTATCTTTTTTTTCTTTACACATATCTCTATAATAAATCCATCCGGAATACATGTGAAGCAAAGCTCTAGCTTGATGTTTTCTCCCCAAAGAACAATTCAATTTTTTCAATAATTATTTAAAAATTCATCTAATCCTCACCGATTTGTGAAGTTTCCTTTAGCATACATTGTCATTATGTGTCTAGGGTCTTACTCAGTATTATCTGCTCTAAAATAATGACCTGTTAATTTGTGTGCCAGTTTCACATCACTTTAGTGTAAGTTTATAATACATTTCGGTATTTTGTTTGTTTGAGCCAAGTCTTCTTTTATTGTTCTTTTAAAAAAATTCCAAGCTATTTGCTCTTCCCAATGAACTCTGGAATTATTCTGTCTAGTGAACAGAAACTAGTTCTTATATATCTTTAGTTTTTATGTATTAGAATGGCACATATTAACTCACATGCTCTATTACAGCTAAGAATGAATCCACAGCTTCTTAATAGAATTCTCAGAAGAAATTCTTCGATTTCACCCATGAATGTAGAGGAACAAACCTTGTGCACTTTCATGTTATATTTCAGGAAAATTCATGTTTAAACAAACCTTTGTTAGAAATGACAGGGCCTTGGTACATGCCTTTCCACATTCACCTGGGCTGCATCTCATTCCTAGAAGCCTGACAGTGTTCCTCATTATCATTTCCTCCTCAGCGGAGACCATTATAAAAGTTCTGCATTCCTCAAACTGTTATCAATCAGCCTTTCCTAGTAGACTCTCATTCCTCTAGGCCAACTGTCCAAGAGCTTCACAAATGTAAGTTTTAGTACTTCCCTAATATTACATTATTTTCATGAGAGGTATTTTGTACCTATAGTTAGTAGGAGAAATTTAGGAGTTTGGACTCCTAGTACTCAATTATGCCATGGTTCAATGTTCCCACCTAGTCTTTACCTGATATTGCTGGGCAATGAAGTATTTAGGGTAAGTTAATCTTCATTTTCAAGTTGAATTTTAAATTTCTAACCAGATTTTATGTTAATTTTTAAAACAACATTTTTTTAAATCATTTTGTCTTTTAAAAAACATAGGAAGTGGGAACTGGAGAGACTTGGGGTCCAACTCTTGTACTACCCCTTACTAGCTTTGCAATCTTTGCAAGTCACTTCTCTTTGAGCTTATTTACTTTTTAGTGTTATCATGAGGATTAGCAGAATCATACTCAAAAGGCTGACTTAGCACACTGCCAGGTCTGTAACATGTAGTATTACAGAACCTGTTCTTCATGATTTTATGAACATTGATTATTGCCTTGTACTTTAATAATGATCTTATATGGGTTACTAACTTATACGGAGCCATTTCCCCCTACATGAAATGATTCTAGATGATGCCTCTTTTTGGATTCTTAGGTCTTCTAAAAGCAATCTTTACCACCATTTTCATTGCTTTTAGGCAGTAGACTATAATTTATAATTGATGTCACTGGGGTTAGTTCTAAGAATAGCTCCTACTCCCTTTCTCACTTCCTTTACAATTTGCTGCTCCTGATCTTCTGTACAACAGGAAATCCGATGACCAAATTATCAGAAATGTGTCTGATTTAAGAATAAACAGGTTCAGTGGGAGGCTAAGGAGTTCTCTTCAGGAGAAGCATATAGAAACTATCAGACTACTAGAACAGTCTTTGTGATAGCCATTATAGCTATTCATAAGCCATTAGTACTTCTTTTCACGTTCTTCAATGTGTAAAAAAACCCAGAGAATCAAACAAATGGGAACATGAGCTATTACTATACTTTCGAGAGAAAAGATAAATAAAACATACAATTTCAAAGCCAATATGGGATAATGCAGGGCTGGGTCCCAGGAACATGTTAGGAGGTAAGAGGAATGAATCCTTCCATTATTATTATTGAGAAGACTTCTTAAGTCACTAGTCTTAATGTAAAAGCAGCCAGAAAATTAACATATACTAAAAATCTATCATGTGATGAGGCCCCTGCATGAATTATCTCAGTACTCAAACAGTTCTGAGCAAAGGAATTATTATACACATTTATAGTGAGGAAATGGATCCCCTAAAAGGTTAAAGTGACTTATCTAAACCAAAAAGTGCCAGAGCCAGAATTCAAACTAAGGTCTGCTCAGTTATAAAGCTCAATGATCTATAACCCTCTGGTTACTTGTAGGGACTAACTTACACTTTGCACAAAAACCTACTTCCTCTACATCAGCAAATAAACAATGAGACAGTGTAACAGAAAATAGAATATCACCCATAATCACAACAATATAAATCAAGTACCTAGGAATTAATTTAAAATGCAGAAGACATATGAAAAAAAATTAATGCATAAAGGAAAGAAAGCTGAATAAAGGGAGAGGTAAATTATTACCTTTGAAAAGGAAGACTTAACATGATAAAGTTAAATTAACTTCTCCAAATTATAACTTCAATTCATTATAAAAACAAATTCAACAAAATTTTGTGGAAACTGGACTAATTCTAAATTATATATGGAAGAATAAAAGTTCATGTGGTTCAGGAATAGCTAGTATAAGTCTGAAACAAGAAAAGCAAACAGCAGAGATTTACCTTACCTGTTATTAAGGCAAATTACAACTCTTAATAATTGAAACAATATGATCCTGGCAAAGGATCAAATAAGCAGTGGAACAAATAAAATCCAGAAATGGACTCATGTATGTATATGAACTTGGTACACAGGAAAGGTGGTAATACAAATCACTGAGGAAACAAGAGATCATTTAATAAAGTGGAGCTGGGAAGACTGGCTTATTATGAAGAGAAAATAAAATTAGATACTTTCCAAGCATATACAGAATAAAAATACACACTACAGTAAAGACCTGACATGGAAGGTAACATTATGAAACTATACAAAAGTGTAGAAAAATATCTTTATGACCCAGGGGTAGGGACGAATTTATTAAATAAGATCCCCAAAGCACACACCACAAAGGCAAAATGTGATGGGTTTGGCAAAACTAAAATTAAACTTGGTTAAGGGTGAAGTATACAGTTATCCATAATAGGAATGTATAAATGGATGGCTAGAGATGGATATATGGGTAGTTATATGAGATTAAGTATAGTAATATATTAATTATAGAATCTAAGTAGTGGTCATATGGTTATTTACCATGCTTTCTTCCAACTTTTCTGTGTGTATGAATTTATAATAAAAGGTCAGTAAAATGAAAGACTTGTTCAACAAAGATACTGCACATAAAGTTTAAAAAATTGTAACAGGTGGAAAAGATATTTGATACACACACACACACAAATAAAAAAAATTGCTGTGTATGTATTTGTATGCACACACGTATCTGACTAGAAACTTCTGTAATCACCAAAAATAAAAAACAATAACTTAAAAGAAAATTGGCAAGATAGGCACTTGAGAGAATAAGAAAACAAATGTCTAATATGTATACTAATATGTATAAAATAAAAATTCAATCTCATCTGTAGTCAAATGCAAATTAAAATAGAAGATACTACTTAAAGCCCACTAGATTGGCAAAAATGAAGAAGTTATATGGTATCAGTAGTGACAATAATATGAAGAAATAGAAATCCTTATGCATTTGTTCTTAGGACTAAAAATTAGTATAGATATAATCTAGAGAAATCTGGCAACATTTGGTGAAAAACCTATGTGCATCTTTTATAAGATCCAGCAATTCTACTCCTGATCATACACTTCAGATAAACTGACACAGGAACACAAAGAAAAGAGAGATCTATGAAGATATTCCCTGCAGCACCGTTTGTAATACTTAGGGACTGGAAACAACTATCTATCAATCAATAAACAAAGTATGGTGATATTAGTATTTGATGAAATATAATCCAGCAGTAATGAGGAATGAACCACATGAGTACAGATAGATCTCAAAAATAATACTGAGTGAAAACAGAAATAGAATGAGATGTACAACACAGTACCTTTCATGTTAAAAAAGGAAAAAAATCTACACAAACACTATAGATTGTACATGGATATACATATATCTAAATAAATGCATGGAAGATGGCTTAGAAGAACACATAAAGTAACCAAGAGTGGCTACTTATGGGTAGAGAAGGAAGAAACTGGATCAGGAATAAAGACTAAAGGGGAAAAAAATCAAATATAAAGAAGGGTCATATATGGACTGATGATGACAGAGGATCATGAACTGAGGAGAGTATCATGGCAATCAATTTAAGTATTTCTGAAGTCTAAGCTAAACATAAAACAAAAACCTTCCCACCCCAAACCACCAGAAAAACATTTGGTTAAAGTAAACATCAAAAAAAAAGAGAGAGAGAAACAAACCAGTCACTTCCCTGCGAAATGGCTTACCGGAGTATACAGCACATGAGCAGCAAATGGGTAGGGACATTAGCTGGATTGAGCATACTAGGTGTGTCTGACTTCATACAGGCCAGGAAAGCTCGCATCCTTCTGTTCTTGTCCTCAACTGCTTTGCCTAGCCAGAGTTTCTTGAGGTTTGGGCAAGTCCATTCTCGAAATGTCAGTGCAGATACCAGCTCAGGGGTTTGAGGTGACTTCCCTTTATAGGCAGACCACTCTTTGAGGATCACTGAAGGAACTGGAAAAGAGAAATTCAGTAAAAATAGGCTCTAAAGAATTTGTGCATATCTGCCACTGGCCGCAACTGACAGGATCGATCACAATACATCTTTTTGTTTTTTTTGCCACTATAATTTCTATTGTTAGCAGTAGTAACAGCAGGAGTATAGTAAGCATTTATTAGATGCTTGATAGATGTCAAGTATCCTGTATATAAATGTAAATCTTATTTACTCATCAGAACAATCCTGAGAGAAGTATTAGGACTGTATTATCACAAAACACAGCAAAACATAGTGCTTGCAGATGAAGAAATCAGGGCTCAATGTCACATAGTTATAATTATGCTGAAACTTTCTTAAGTAGATATACCAGGCTAGGCAAGAAAAGAAGTCCAAGGAATTATTATGTGAATACCTGGCTTCATAACAGACTATAGGACATCCCAGAAGACTTTAAAGAATTTTACAAAATTCTTGAAAAGCCAACATTATTTAGACTTACCAAGGTGTAACTGACAAAGAAAACATGGCTTCTGTCTACTTCTAATATTAGTCTCCTGAGCTTTCGCTTCATTTACTTAAGACATCTAGCATCTACTCACTTATCCAAGTTAGGAACCTGGAAGTCATCCCAGAGTCTTTCCTCTCCTTCATTCCTTCCTGTACATCTGGTTAATCCCAAGGTCCTGCTGATTCTTCTATTTTATAATCCCTTGTATCTGTCCCCGTTGCTTCATCACAATAAATAATATAGAGGTTCAGATCTCATCATCTTTCACCTGAGAAGAATTTCCAGACTATTCCTGCCATCATCCTGTCTGGTCTCTTTCACACCCTGCTATACAACTACTACAGTGCTCTTTTAAAAATACCTTTTAGTTTGAAATAATAGATTCACAGGGAGTTGCAAAGATAGTAGACAGAGGTTCTGTGTACCCTTGATCCAGTTTCCCCCAATGGTTATATCTAAAGTAATTATACTACAATATCAAAACTAGGAATTCAATATTGGTATAATTGTGTCTATAGTTCAATGTCATGTGGATTTGTATATCCACCATCACAATGAAGGTGCAGAACTATTCCATCACCACAAAGACCTCCCTTGCGCTACTACTACCCCTTTCGTGGCCACACCCAATACCCTCTAGTACCATCCCTAATACCTGACAACCCCTAATCTGTTTTCCATTTCTACAATTTTGTCAGTTTGAGATTGTTATATAAATAGAATCATAGACTATGCAACCTTTTGGGATTGGCATTTTCACTCAGCATAATGCCACTGAGATTCATCCATGTTGTTTCATGTATCAATAGTTCATTCACTTATTGCCGAGTAACATTCGACGGTATGGATGTACCATAGTTTAATCATTCACCTTTGCAGGATATCTAGGTTGTTTCTGTTTGGGGCTATAATGTATGAAGCTGCTATGAGTATTTGTGTACAAGTTCCTGCATGAAAATAACTTCACATCTCTGGGATAATGGCCCAAAAGTAAAAGTGCTGGCTTATATTCTTAAGTGCTTTTTCAGTTTTGAAAGGAGCTGCCAAACTATTTTCCAGAATGCAGTACTATTTTACATAACCACCAGCAATTTATCAATGATTCATTTCCTCTACTTCCAATCTAGCATATGGTATTATCACCATTATTCCTTTTAGCCATTATGACAGGCATGTATTAAAACATCCTTGTGGTTTAAATTTGCATTTCTCTAATGATGTTGAGTATCTTTTCATGTCTGTATTTGCCATATCTGATCTTCTTCAGTAAAATGTCTATGCATAACTTCTGCTGATATTCTAATTGGATTGTTTTCAGGTTTGAGAGTTCTTTGTATATTTTAGAAAATACTTTAGGTATGTGGTATTTATTCACCGATGGATGTCCAACTGATCCAGTATCATTTGTTAAAAAGACCATCCTTCCTCCAATGAAGTGCTTCTGCACCTTTGTCAAAACTCAGTTGGCTGTACTTGTATAGGGCTCTTTCTGGGCTCTATTTCTGTGATCTGTATGCCTGTAGCACTGTCAATACAATTCAGTCTTAAATATTATAGCTACACAATAAGCCTCGAAGTTCAGGTAGAATGACTGTTTCTAATTCATTATTCCTCTCCAAAAATATTTTAGCTATTCTAGTTCCTTTGATTTCCATATATTAGAATAATCTTGTCTATAACCATAAAGACTACTACTGGGATTTGTATGGGAATTGAGTTAAACCTGTGCAGCAGTTTGGAACTGGAAGAACTGGGGAAAACTGACATTGTTACTCTATTGAGTCTTCCAATTCATGGACATCTATGTCTCTCCATTGATGAAGCTCTTCACTGATTTCTTTCATCAGTATTTTCTAATTTTCAGAATATAGATCCTGAACATATATTGTTGATTTATACCTAAATATTTCATTTTCTTTGGAGGGGCTGTAATGGTACTGTATTTCAATCCCACATATACATCGTTAGTATACAGAAATACAATTAACTTCCATGTTTATTTTATATCTTATAACCTTGATGAATTCACTCAGTTCTAGGAGTTTTATTGTACATTCCTTATGATTTTCTATATAGACTCTACATCCTCTGAAATCAAGAACAGACTTCTTTCTTTCTGGTATGTATGCATCCAATTTAATTTTCTTGCCTTTCTATGCTGGCTAGAATTTCCAGTACTATACTGAAGAGCAGTGGTAAGGGCAAACCATCCAACCCTTGTTCCTGATTTTAGGAGAAAATTGCTTGGTATTTCAGCATTAAGTATAATGTTAACTGTAGGGTATCTGCACACGTTTTTTATTAAGTGGAAGAAATTCCACTGTATTTCAGTTTCTTTGCATATAATGAATCGTTAAATTTTGTCAAATGTTTTCCTGTATCCATTGAGATGATTGTACTTTTCTCCTTCAGACTGTTTATGTGGTCGAATACATTGACTGATTTTTCAAATTTGGAACCATATTTATTCCTTGCAACCATGGAATAAATTCTAACTGGCTATTGTGTATAATTCTTTTTACATAGTGCTGAGTAATACTATTATTTTGTGAAGAATATTTACATGCAGGGTAGGCAAAAAAGTACATTCAGATCGTGTTTAAAATAGAGCAATCAGTGATTTAACAAAGATTGTTGGATAGTAAGGAAGCTAACCTTGAACCTTTGGTAATCACAAACCTAATGCCTACAATGAAAATAAGTACATATCTATCGATTATCACTATAAATGTAAATGAACGGAACGCACCAATCAAAACACATATAGACTTACAGAATGAATAAAATCAGGATCCATCTATATGCTGCCTATAAGAGATTCATTCAAACCCAAAGACATGATGGATTAAAGATGGTGGTGTGGGAGGACAGAGGCTTCCTCCTAAAACTGGATACAATTAGAAAATATAGCTGGCGCAACTAATCCTGAGAACTGGATACAATTAGAAAATATAGCTGGCGCAACTAATCCTGAGAGAGCAACAGGAAAGGGGATGGCGCCAGACTGCATACACCTGGAGAAAACAGCAGACCTCACCAAACGGGGTAACATAGCAGAACTGTGGCTCCACAGGACCCAAGCACTTCCCCCACCCCAGCTCACCAGCAGGAGGAAGAGAAATGGAGCAGGGAGGGAGTGGAAGGCTTGGGACTGCTGAATACCTAGCTCCGGAGATCTGCTTTGGGAGCACAAACCTATATCTCACGGTGCTTTCATGATACTCGCATGACTACCGGGTTGGAAAGTTAATACAGGCACAGTTCTTGGGGAGACTGGGATTCCGGCCACTTGTGGAAAGCAGGGATCCATATCCGGCTGCTCTGGGACAAAAACTTATACCTGTGTGACCGGCCCGCTAGCTCAGGCAGTGGAGACAGGCACAGAAACCAGGAAGCGGGGAACAGCTCTTTCCTCCCCCAGGCACCAGTACCGCTCCCCTGCGACCCCCAACATTGCTTCAGGGGCTGAGCAACTACAGAACAGAGATTCTGGACACTAGAGGGCGCCATATACAAACATGAAATGCCAAAGGAACCTTGTCCAGAGTAAAATTATTAATACAACTCCCGAGAAAGATTTAAATGATATGAACCTCGTGACTCTTCCTGAAAGGGAGTTCAAAATAAAAATCATCAACATTCTAATGGAGGTACGGAAAGACATCCAAGAACTCAGGAATGAATTCAGGTAGGAGATCCAATCATTGAAGAGCATGATGGAGGGTATTAAAAGCAGGTTGGATACGGTGGAGGAGAAAATAAATGAAATAGAAACTAGAAAAAAGGAATAAAAGAAGCGGAGGCACAGGGAGAAAAAAGAATCTCTAAGAATGAAAGAATATTGAGAGAACTGTGTGACCAATCCAAGCAGAACAATATTCACATTATAGGGATACCAGAAGAAGAAGAAGAGAGAGAAAGGGATAGAAAGTGTCTTTGAGGAGGTAGTTGCTGAAAACTTCCCCAATCTGGGGAAGAAGATAGTCTCTCAGGCCATGGAGATACACAGATCTCCCAACACAAGGGACCCAAGGAATACAGCACCAAGACACACAGTAATTAAAATGGGAAAGATCAAGGGTAAGGACAGACTGTTAAAAGCAGCCAGAGAGAGAAATAAGATCACATACAAAGGAAAGCCCATCAGGCTAACATCAGACTTCTTAGCAGAAACCTTTCAGGCCAGAAGGGAGTGGGCATGATGTATTTAATGCCATGAAGCAGAAAGGCCTTGAACCAAGATTACTTTAGACGGCAAGATTATCATTTAAATTTGAAGGAGGGATTAAACAATTTCCAGATAAGCAAAAGCTGAGAGACTTTACCTCCCACAAACCATCTCCACAGTCTATTTTGGCACAGTCTATTTTGGAAGGACTGCTATAGATGGAAGTGTTCCTAAGGTTGATAGCTGTCACCAGAGGTAATAAAACCTGTGAAGAAAGTAGAACAGCTAATTATGAAACAAATGCAAAATTAAATTAACTATCCCTGAAGTTAATCAAG